CGGGCGGTGGCGGGCTCCGGGATTGGCGGGCGCTAGGCGGGCGGTGTCAGGCTCTCGGTGGCGGCGGAGGCGGCGGAGGCCAGGGAGGAAGATGTCGTAATGAGCGGTGGGTCCTGGCCTCTGCCGGCGGGGTCTTGCCGGCCCTCAAGGGTCAGGAAGACGGGCAGAGGCCGCAGGGAGGGGAAGCCGGGTCCGAGGGTTCCCCCCTGGGGCCAAGCCGGGCGCCGGGGCCCGGTCGCGGGAGGGGCGAGGGAGGGAGGATTCCCGCCCGGAGGAGGAGCGCGGCTGGCCGGCCGGGCGGAGGCACCCGGAAGGGGGCGTTCGACTCCCCGCCCCCTCGGAGCCCGCTGGGCAGGAGGGCGGCGCTTCCGGGGGCTCGAGCCAGCGGCGGGCACCGGGCGCGGGGCCTTAGCCCGGGTCGCCTCCGCGCCGGCCTCCGCGGGACAGCGCCTGGGGCGGCCTTGAGCGGCGGTCGACACCCCGCGGGCTCGCCCTGCCCCGGGGCCCCACCAGCGATCTGGCCTGATCTGGTCTTGGGAGTGCCGAGAGGGCGAGGGATGCGTGAAGTCAGAAGGCGCCAGCCAGATGGGCATTGCTGGGCGTGGACTCCAGCCTGCCCAAGGCGAATCCCAGGCGGGAGCTGGGGTCAGGGCCCGAGGGCGCGCCCCGGGCTGATGAGCCTGGGCCTGGGTCTGCGTAGTGGGCAAAAATGTCCTGTCTTCATGTTTCTACTTGTACTCGTGAGGCTCGGGATAGGTTTCTGGAAGTTCTCAGAACCCTGAGACGCTTGAGAGCTTGTTAACAGAGCTCGTAGCCTGTGAACCAGATGTCCCTCGGGGGTGACCACCGAAATCCCAAAGCCCACGGTGACCTGAAGGATGACTTCAGAAATAAAACAAAATAGATGTTTTCTTCCTCTACCTCGCCTCTGTCGCCATTGCTGACTTCATGGTTCTCAGCCTCCTTGGTTTGTTTCCTTTCTAGTTTTAGTTTGAAAGAAGTGTGATTCTCCTCTGGGCAATTGAGAAACTGCCCTCGCTGGATTCCTTGGTTTTGATTCCAATATCTTGTCATGTCTAATTGATTTCTGAGACAGAGTCTCGCTCTGAATTCCAGGCTGGCCTTGAACCCACTGTGTACCCTCAGTGTTCCTCCTGCCTGGGCCTCCGGAGCGCAGAGATTACAGGTGTGTGCCATCACACCCAGCTTGAGTCCGTATTTGTGGTAAGATTTTTAGAAAGTTTAACGTGTTGGCTAGCTCTCAGAGAGGCCCCAAAGGGAATGATGGGCTCCAGACCACGGTGGTCATTTTGATGACTAACACAAAGAAGTGTGTTGCCTGAGATCCTGAATGTAACTGCAGTGTCTGGTTTTATTTGAAATTCCTGTGTACATCGAAGGGATGAATGTGTGAGACAACCTGTCCATTGACCTGCTGTTCTCAGTTGTTCAGTGGCTTCTACCAGGAAATAAATTCTCATTGGCTAGGCCCTCAGCAAGTTTGCCAGTTCTTCTATTGCTTGTGCAGAGCGTTAGACTCTGGTTAGAAGCGCAGTAAGAAGGAGAAGGCTCGTCTGGCATAGTGAGGAGAACCACAGAGTTTGTTGTAACTGGATCCACTTCCCTGTGCCCTATGGGAGAACTGCCTTCTGGAAGGAGAGTCAGGCAGCCCTTTGGGCCGCATATAGAGTGGGTACTTTTTCTCTTGACTGTTCATTTGGGCCTCTGGAGGCCAGTCAGAGGCGAGAAGCAGTAAGATTGTAGCAGATGTCTGGGGAAAGGAGCCTCCTGGTATTCCAGCAGGTAGGGTGGTTCATTTTGCTCTCTTGGCCTTGAACTTCTTATTTTATTTATTTTTTAACTTCTTCTGGTGGTTAATAGCACCCTTTTGGAGAAGTTCTAAGGTCCCTTATACTAAGCAGTGAGCTGTCTTTTGTTATTAGTATGTGGCAATACTTCAACTATTGCCTAACCAGGGCCCTTATGATGACATTTTTGGTTTTTTGGTGTTTTTTTTTGAGATAAGGTCTCGCTATGCAGTCCAGGCTGCCCTTGAACTCACTGTGTAGCCCAGGCTGGCCTCAAACTCCTGCTTCAGCCTCCTGAGTGCTGGCATTATAGGCGTGCAGCGCCACGCCTGGCTTTATGGTGACATTTTTAAGCTTATGATAGCCAGTAGACCCTTGGATTGAGTTGGTTTAGCAATCTTCTAGACCATTTCTGTGATAGAAATGTGGCGTGTTCTTTACCCTTTCCCTTCTCTATACACACACATTGGAAGCCCTGCTTCCAAACATTGAAAAATGTAGGAATCATTTCAGATCAGGTAGGCAATGGCTACAGAGAAAAGGAGGCAGAGCCAAGGCTGAGGATTTAGCTCAGTGGTTTCACCGCCTGGTGCACAAGCGCAAGGACTCAAGTTCGATCCCTGGCACACACACAAAAAAGGCAGAGCCAGTGCTTTACAGGTTATGTGGAGCATGAGAAAGTCAGGGAGGTAGCGGAGGACTTTTGCCTTCCTAGGGTCACAGGGTCCAAGCTTAGACCTTGTGGGCTGCCGTGCCCTTTCTTACAGCTTTATTCGGTGCAGCATCTGAAGTGTTCCCCGTGGCTGAGCCGACTGTGACTGTCTCCCTAGCCTGGCCTGCACCGGGGCTGCTGCTAGAGGCTGGAGAAAGCTGGCCACTGCCGGCCTGAGGAGCAGACCTCGGTAGGGAATGCACTTGTTGGTTTTGCCCTTTGCTTTTGTTTTGAATACTCATTCAGCTCCTTGTGGGATTTCTAGACCTGTTGTAGGAGAGAAAAAAGCTCTTTTTCTTTTCTTACTTTATCAACCCAGGATATTAAGTCTGTTTCAGAAATAAAATGGAAACTTTCTCTTAAGATGCTCATCATGACCAGCAGTTTTAAATTTTTGTTTTTTCCAGTATTGGGGACTGAACCCAGGGGCTTTGCACAGAGCTACATCTTGAACCCTTTTGGGGGTGGGTGAGATAGGGGCTCTGTATAGGTCAGGCTGGCCTTGAACTTGGCAGCTTCCTACCTCAGCCTCCTGAGACCTGGGATTAACAGGTGTGCGCCACCCGCCCCCTCCAGCCCCCTTTTGAAAAACTTTGATTATTTTTTAGTTTGAGACAGGGTCTTGCTAAGTTGCCAGGGCAGGGCAGGGCATGAACTTTTGATCCTTGTGCCTCAGCCTCCCAGAGTGCTGGGACCATAGGTGAGTGTCAGCTCATTTGGCTTGGGCAAGGTCTCTCTTTTTTTTTTTTGGTACCAAGGATCGATCTCCGGACCTTGCGTTTGTGATGCAGGCGGCGGAACCACTGAGCTAAATCCCCGGGCTTTTTTTTAAATGACTCACTCTAGTGGCCTCATTTTATTTATTTCTAGTTTTAGTTTGTTAGTACATATGTGTAGATATAATGTTTACAGTCCTTGCGTGAAGTTGCCCGTAACGCATCTTAATTCCTTTTTCATCCCCTTTCCTCCCACCCCCTGGACAAACTCTATTGCTGAGCTGCCAGCCAGTCTTTGGGGAGCAGCTTTCTCTGAGGACCTCTGGTGGTGAGGCCTCACCTTCTTGTCTGCACTGTGTTGGAGCAGGGTGCACGGTGAGCAGGGACACCATAGAGGCCTTCACACTGCAGGCCACTGGGACGGAGCCAGAGCGGTTGCCCCTGAAGAGGGGCGCAGGTGGCACAGGGAGGTGGTTCCAGGTGACTGACTCTGCGGCTGCAGTGTGGGGAGCGGGCTTCCTCTGCATGTCTCTGGGTGCAGCTGTGGGGTCATGGTGCTGCTCCTCGGAGTGGCCCTCAGGCTGGTGCTCTGGGCGAATCAGTTCTGCCCAGCACCGCGGGGATGGGCAGAGCGCTTTCCAGCTGCCCCAGAGAGGGCACCCAGGCAGGTGGGCTGTGGGCCACACTGGGTTCTCTCACCCGTGGTCTCACTCCAAGCTGCTCTCCGCTTGTACCTTGTCATGCAGAGGCTTAGCACGGTGACCTGCTTGGTGCCAAGTGTCCTGAGATGCCAGTTTGGCCATGTGTGGCACCTTGGATTGTTAGGTGGCGTCTTATTGTTGGTTTTGTTGTTGTTGTTGTTTTGCTTTTGGTTTTTTGACACTGGATCTTGCTACATAGTTCAGGGTGGCCCTCGTGTAGTTCAGGCTGGCCTTGGATTCACTATGTAAGGCTGGCCTCGAACCTGCAGCGATCCTCTTGCCTCAGCCTCCTGAGTGCTGGGATTACAGGCTTGTGTCACCCTGCCCAGATGTTAGGTGGCTTTTTGTCTTGGCCACTGAGTGTAGTGGCTTGAGGGGGAGCCAGCAGGCCAGGCCTGCACTTTTCCAGATGTTGTCCTCCCGGGGCTTCCTCTTTAGGGTTCTCATCTCTCCTGGGATGTGTGGAATCGCCTTGGCCGGGAGAGAGTGAACAGAGACTAGGACAGCAAGTGGGGGCTGTAATCCCAACGAAATATTTCAGCTCCCACTGGGTGTCTAACTGGAAATCTCAGATAGGCCTAGAAAAACTACCAGGACAAGTCCCAGCACTCAGGAGAGTCAGTGGTGGCCGGCCAGTGTTCTCGGGGCACAGAGGGGCTCCCAGCAGCAGCACGCGGGCGCGTGGGGAGTGAGCCAGTGCGCATGCCTGGGGAGGCGCGGTACACTCTGCCTCGTGGGACTTTAAGGGGGAAGGTGGGTCGGCTTGCTTTTTCCTTTCCTGACCTCTAAGAACATGCTGAGGCTCTGTGTTCTTTGACAAATCAAAACCCAAAAAACTTTGTGCTACTTCCTGGGACCACTTGGCAGGGCGGCAAGTTCTCCCTGCCCTTGCTGTCCCCCCACTTCCCATAGAGTGTGGTGAACCCAGGCTGGACGCAGACTGGCCAAAGGACGTCTCCTTGGCGCGAGGAGCTCCAGGTGGGGACTGGGGAAGGGAGGGCATTCATATTCAGATACCGCCATTGTCTGGAGTCCAGTGTGGGTGCGGTGGGGGGGGGCGAGGTGGGGGGGACCCTGCTGGGCCTTTTAGGCCCCGCCCTATGAGCATCCCCTGGGGATGAGCCAGGTCCCAGGGAGTGGACCCTGCACCAGGATATGCAGATTGCCAGGTTTCTCCTTTCCTTTTAAGCTCTCCCTCTGCATTCCTATAGGATTTGTTAATACATCACTTTATTCACCAAATCATTTGTCCTGGGCACTGGTGTTACATCAGTAAGAGAGAAAGAAGCCTTTATCTTTAATTTAGATAAAGGTGGTTTTTTTTTCCGTATGGGGTCTTTGTGCTTGCAAGGCAGGCAGCGGAGCCAGTGAGCTAAATCCCCAGCCCTTTATCTTTAATTTAGGAAGCATGTGTTCTTAGTTGGACACCACTAGTAGGTATTTGTTAAAAAGTCAGACGTGTTCAGCATAAAAATAGAAGAAGCTGGGTGTGCTGGGGCACGCCTGTAATCCCAGGCCGAGGCGGGAGGATCTCAGCGAGTTGGAGGCCAGCTTGGGCTGTGGACTGAGTTCAGAGCCACCCTGAACTACGTAGTGAGACCTTGTTTCAAAAACAACGAAACAGAGAAGAAGAAGAGAGGGAGGGTAGGCAAGAGCTGTGTTGGGGGCCAGGGCAGCTCCCTCCAGGTGACAGGGAAGGTCTGGCAGAGAAGGGGACTCAGGCAGAAGCCCGAGGCAAGGCAGCTCCGTGTGCAGTGAGGAAGGGATGAAGGGCGGGGCTGCTGGGCCTGGCTGAGGCAGACGGACTGGAGCACTGCCCCCGCCGCCCACCACCCTGGAGTCAGACAGCCTGCAGTTTGTTTCCTCGGCGCCCCCCCCCCCAGCCGCCTTATCACCACAAGGTGAATGGGTCTTGTGGTTTCACTGAGCATTGCACAGGGAATGCAGAGAGAATGATGGTATGGGTGACGTTGAAAAACCACTACATCAGCCACGGTGACTGGCAAGTTGTGTTGGAGGGGAAGAGAAACAGCGCATCCCAGCTGAAAAGGGACATTTTTTTTTTTTGGTACCGGGGATCGAACTCAGGTCCTTGCGCTTTCAAGACAGGCGGCGGAACCACTGAGCTAAATCCCCGGCCCCAAGGGACATTTTTCATTTTGGTGAAGTTTTGATCAGAGTTGAGGGGTGGGGAGACCAGAGGTGAGAAGAGTTCTCTGTTCCTGGTCACTGCCCCCCCCTTTTTCTTTTTGGTTTCTTGAGACAGGGTCTCGCTGTGTAGTCCAGGCTGGCCTTGGACTCGGGATCTCCTGCCTCAGCCTCCAGAGTGCAGGGCTGCCAGGTGTCCCCTTCTCTTGTAGTGAAATCTCTTCTGTGCTAGCCACTGTGGTTGCTGGAGGTTTGTTTCCTGAAAACAGTTTGCAGGTTGGAGTCTTTCACAACCCATTTGTTCCCTCCGCCCAGGCTGATTCTTTAGCCCGTTTGTCAGCTGCCCGTGAGTCCAGCTTTGTTCTCAAACCAGCCATGGCTTGCTCTCCCATCACGGGCCTCAGTTCTCCCAGCCAGGCGACTGGGAAAGCCTGGCCTTAGAGGCTGCTGCGCTGGCTCCTGGCCCGGCTGAGCTGACCAAAATAGCCACAGAAGAGCTGTTTGCACGGTGAGTCCTCCGTGGAAATACTGTACCAGGGCCCAGGAAGCCTGGCTGAGAGGTAGGAGCCAGAGGCCCAAGCCAAGGACCCCAGGCCTGCGTGTGGGGCTCAGCCACATTCTGTCCCAGCTCCCTGCAGGAGAAAAGCTTCCGCAAGCTTTGGGTCTATTTCGGAGGGCCCCTTCCCTCTCTCATTCCCTCAGAGGGAATTCTCCCAGAGGAGTAGTGGTCTGGGCCGAGGGGTGCAGTCAGTGGTAGGGCACCTGCCCGCCACGGGTAAGGCCCTGGGTTCAGTGCCCAGCACCAGAAAACAAAAGCCAGTCAGGCATGGGAGTGCAGGCCTGTGAGGCTGAGGCAGGAGGATCGCAATTTCCAGCCAGCCTGGGCAGCTTAGCAAGATCCTTTCTCAGAATATAACAGGGCTGGAGCTGGAGCTAGTGGTAGAGCACCCCCAGGTTCACTCCCCAGTGTTGCAAAGAGAGAAAAAGTTTCCTTAGTGGACCGAGTGGGACTCAGCGCTCTCTCCATCCAGTCGCAGCAGACAGCCCAGGACAGACCTGTGCTCCGTGGGGGTCGGTGCTGTGGGGTCCCCTGGAGAGCAGGCCTGGTACACGGCAGGGTCCCCGGCTCTGGCCATGGGGGTCCGGGAGGCTGGGGCCTGGCCTATCCTGGGGGCACCTGGTAGCCGGGACCTAGTCTGGGAGTAGCTGATCGATTTACATTTCCCCAGATTGTTCCCACCTGGCTAGAGAGGCTGGAAGAGGGGCCGAGGCCAGAGGGCGGTGGGGTTTGCGGTGAAGTGGGGAGAGGCTGCCGTGTGCTGTGTGGAGGCCACCAGAGAGCCAGAGCCAGAGCGAGAGCGGCCGTGAGCCTGCCGGGCTGGGCATCAGCCGCTGGCGCAGACAGAGCCAGCCGCTAGGGGGCGTCCGCCCCTGCTCCCACACGTTGGATTGAATGAATGGGTGGCCTGTGTCACCAAAGGACTTACCCTCCTCACGGGTCCAGGAAGGCCTCGGAGACATGAGGAGCCTGTTTGTTATATGGCGGCTGTCAGCGCTTGAGACCCGAGGGAGGAGGCCCCATTGTACCGGGAAGTCAGAGATGCTGGGGCTAGGGCGGAGCGCAGGGATCCGGGTTCTTCCAGACTGGGAGGAGGAAGGGGGAGGGATCGGGGCTCAGCACCAGACCCGGAGCCACGCGAGCGGGTGCCGCGCTGAGGGACGTGAGAATTGAAGGCGCGGCTAAGGGTAAAGAAGTGGAGCCCACGAGGGAAGAGGTGGGCAAGCGCCCATGGGAGATTCGGGCAGCCGGGAGCTGGTCCCGGGGACCCGCTGGAGCGGGAGCGGACATCCCGAGAGCCGGACATCCCGAGAGCCGTTTCCCAAGTTTGCCCAGGGAGGGGACATGGGGTGGGGCCTGTGGGCTCTTCCTGTGCTGGGATCCAGCTGCCTTCCCTCCTGTGGGAAAGCAAGCTCAGGTGTGGCAGGGTCACCTGGCGCCCGCCCTGCTGGTTCTGTGCCTCGGAGCGCTGCTGTGCTGAGGGCGGGAAGCTTCTCAGGAACACGCGCTGCCCTTGCCTCTCGGAGTCTCCTAGACCCACGTACTCGCCCCTAGAAAGCCCCATCCCAAGGAGGGTAGTGTAGGCAGCTCTGTAACCGAGCACACCACCCGGCCAGGCCTTGACCAGCATGGGGGGAACTCGTATACTGTTTACACCCGGATTACATGGTTTAAAGGGAAGGTTCCAAACTGCGGGGCTCTGTGTCCCTCGGCCGCAGTCCTGCAGTGCCGTGTGGGTACGGCCTCCCCTTATCCGCCGTTCACTCCCACACTTACTAAATCTCCCTTTCGAGGTGGCTCCCAGGCCAGACTCTGGTTCCCTATTGGGATCACCCAGGTCCAAGCTCTAAGTGACACCAGGGGACTCCGGGGAAGGAAAGCGAACGCGGCCTGCAGTGGTGCAGCTTCGGTAGCGGTAGCGTCTGCTGTAACAGCTCGGGCTTGAGCCAGACCCGCGGGTGGGGCGGGGGCGGGTCCAGGGTGACAGCGGTGGCGGGGCCAGGAGAGCCTTTCGCCAATGTTAGCAAAGTGAACTTGAGCCCGGAGCCTCCTGGGAGGTCCCCTGCCTCCCTCCCAGCCCCATCGCGGAGCTCAGCTTGTGTTCTCATCAGTAGCACAGTCTGAAAACTCTAAAGGTCTTTTTCTTTTCGCACTGCTGGATTTTGAACCTAAGGCTCACATGCTAGGCAAGTGCTCTGCCACGGAGTTGCACCCCCAGCCCCGGAAAGTATAAAAATCTAAAGATCACATGCTCCAACTTTCACATTATCTCCAAGTCCCGGCTCCCACATCCTGGCTTTGGGTAAATGATTCCAGAGGAAGAAGAATATTACCCCAAGGCAACTGATTCTGCCTTGTGAAAGTTCTCAGCCTGCTTTTTTTTTTTTTATTTTTGGAATTGCACTAGGGCTTGTATCTACTGAGCGACATCCCTAGCCCCTTTTTTCAAATTTTGAGACAAGATTCCACTAAGTTTCCCAGGCTGAGCTCAGATTTAGAACCCTCGTACCTCAGCCTTACCAGAGTGCTGGGATTCAGGTGAACACCACCACTCCTCGCTTGAAACCTGTCTCTCTTGTATTGAACTGAAATCTGCCTTTTTAAATGGCCGCCGCACAGTCTTGCTTTACCCCGGGCCGGGTGTGAGGTGAGCACGCTGCAGAACACCCCACTCAGGCCCACTCGCCACTGCTCCCCCAACTAAAGACTGCCCTCTCCAAGCGGCCCCCGGAACAGAGCCCCACCGTCCCTGTGGGCGAACGTGTGCAGGGGACATGGGGGCTGTTGTTTTTCTCATCCTGAGACTGGATGTTTAGAAATGCAGACTCAGATTACAGCGGCACTTTTGGCAATTGTGTAGTTTGCACTGGTTCCCGTTCAGCCACCTGTCACCCTATCCTGTACGCAAGTCACTTGGTTTTACCCTCAGCACGGCATGGACTAAAACTCCACTGAGTGCTAGGGCTGCTGACCCCGGTGTCACATGAGGGGCTGGATCACCTGGGGAGAGGACCTCGCACAGGGCTGCAGTCTGTGTTCTTAAACACTGCACCTGCCAGTTTTGGTTTGAAACAAGGCCTTGCTAAGTTGCCCAGGCTGCCCTTGAGTTTGGGGTCCTTCTGCCTCAGCCTCCCAAGTCACTGGGATTACACATGTGTGCCCGTCTTACCTACCAGTACTGTATTTTATTTGTTTGGTTTTGTTTTTCTGAGACAAGGTCTTGCAATGTAGTCCAGGAGTCTTGAACTCAGTTTGTAGCCTAGGCTGTCCTCAGATTTGCAATCTTCCTGCTTCAGCCTCCCTAGTGCTAGGATTACAGGCGTGTGTCATCATGCCCAACCATCCTACCAGTTTTTAAAGATTTCTTTGAACCCTAGCAGGCTACCCATTGTATTTCCAGTCCTTCTCAGTTTTGTGACATTGGCAAGTTTAATTGGCCATCTAGCTTGTCAAACAGGCTACCCTAAAGCTGTGTTTTCAGCTGGGTGTAGTGATGAACCCAGAACTTGGGAGCCTCAGGCAGGAAGATCCAGAGTCCAAGACCAGCCTGGGTTGCATAACTAGACCTTGTTCTAAGAGGGAAAGGGGTGGACAAAGGGACGGAGAGACAGATGTTTTTTACCAGTAGGGTACAAACCCAATTTAATAGGTCACAATCGGCATTTTGAAAAGTGCGATAGAGTAGAAAGATGTCAGCTGTATCATATGTAATAAGGGCAGATTTTGTTTCAGGAAGCTTTCGTGCCGAGCACAAGACGGGAATACCTCCTGTGTGCCAGTATCTGTGCTGAGGCTTGGGGTGATTTTTCCTTTTCTGTGCTGCGGCTTCCACCCAGGACTGGCCACACCAGGCAAGCCGCCTACGCTGCGCTCTGCCCCAGCCCGACCGGAAGTAAATCGCTTTTCTAACTGTTGTTCATGTTCTAATAGCCTGAATACCAGTACCCTAAAGGGAAAAAAACTATGTTTGGGGGCTGACTTCAGGTATTTCCAGGACAAAACTACAACTTAATTTTGGAGGCACATAGTAAATCTGGAAGTTGCCTTATCGATTCGATTCCGCCTCGCTGAAGTTAACTACAGAAAAGCCCGCATCTTCCTGGGAGGAGGATGTTTGGTGGGAGCTCTCCCAGAGTGCAGCTTTGCAGGGCCCTCCTGCCGCACCTAGCCGAGCCCCCGTGACGCCCGTGCCGACGCCATCCTCCCCCGCGCGCCTCGCTCTGCAAGGAATAGGCGTGCCATGCGGTGCACATGTAGCTGCAGCAGCCCTGATGTGTCCACGCAGGGTAGTGCTGTGCCTGTGAGGTCACACAGGCCTTGAAATATGGGGGACATGGCCCGTGATCTGTGGTCGGGGTTCATTTTTAAACTTAATCTTTGATAGCCTTTATTTATTTATTTTGGTACTGGAGATCAAACTGAGGACCTTCCATTTGTCAGGCAGGCCTGGTGCTGCTGAGCTACATCCCTGGCCCTGCGGGGTTCATTTTTAAAGACAGTTGTGCCAGGCATGGTGTCACACACCTGCAATTCCAGCACTCAGGAGGCTGAGGCAGGAGGATCACTTCAAGTATGAGGCCAAGCTGGGCTACATAGTGAGTTCAAGGCCAGCCTGGACTAGATAGCGACCCTGTCTCAAAAAACAAAAACAAAAATGGCCCGTGGTCCAGGGTTGACCTTGTGACAGCCAGCCCTCAGGACTCGGGGAGGCATGTTCAGCAGAGCCCCCACACTGCATTAGTATTGTGCCTGCACTTTTTCCCCCCTTCTTGTTCACAAGATTTTTTTTTTTTTTTTTCCGGTGCTGGAGATTGAACCTAGGGGCTCGAACATCCTAGGCAAGTGCTGTACTACTGAGCTGCATGCCTAGCCTCTCACAAGAATATTATGAAGCTAGGCTTGGTTGCAGACACCTGTAATTCCAGCTACTTGGGAGGCTGAGGCAGGAGGATTGGAAGTTCAAGGCCAACCTGGGCATCTGGTAAGACCCTGTCTCAAAATAAAATAATAAAAAAGAGGTTATGAATGTAGCTCAGTCCTCCTGGGTTCAATCCCCACTACTGAAAAAAAAAAAAGAACATACTGAAAATGTCATTGGTGCCTGCTCAAGTCAAACCCTTGGTCTGCGCATTCTCCTGTGTCTATCCCAGACTGTACCGGACTCGGGTGTGGTTTCTTCAGCTCCCCAGTATTCCTGGAGCTCACTCCCTCCTTCCCTGGAGCAGCAGCATCTTTGGGTTACCTGCTGTAGGGTTTCCAGGGGTGGGGTGCGGGAGGGCTCCCATCTGCACATCCTCCTGACTGGGCCGCCTCAGGCCTCCCTGGCCGTTTGGTCAGTGGGCTTGGGTGACCTCAGGAGGCACTGGGGTGCCTCCTTCCAGGCGGCATTGGCCCGGGCCGATCCCTCCTGTACCGGTCCCATCCCTCCTGTACTGGTCCCTTTCCCGTCCCAGAGCCACTCTGCTAGGTGGAGCAGCTGAGGGCTAGAAGGCTCGGTACCACCTCTGCCAGGTCTCATCATTTTCTCGTCCAGTGCCCCCACTGAGCTGCATCAATGTGGCATCCCCAGTGTCTCTGGACCCTGGCGCCTACTTTCCAGAGGTCTGGGACCCAGTCTGGCTCTGCCTACCTTCTCTCCCTTCTTTCACTCCATTCTCATGGCTACCACTTTGCCTGTTTCCTTTTAAATCAGGCTTCAGTGCGGGACCGAGATTGCTGTTATTTCTTCAACCTTCTTTACTTTCCTTCACTTAGAATACAGTAAGGTACAGTTGTCCCCGGTGTTCACTGGGGCTGGCTCCCAGGACCCCGCAGACACCAGAGCCCACAGATGCTGAAGTTCCTCACCTAAAATGCCAGAGCATCCAGAGATAGATAGATGGAGATAGTTTTTTTTCTTTTCTTTTGTTTTTTTTTGTTTTGGTATCGGGGATCGAACTCGGGACCTTGCGCTTGCAAGCAGGCAGCGGAAGCACTGAGCTAAATCCCTGGCTCAATTTTGTTTTGTTGTTTTTGTTTGTTGTTGTTTGATTTTGTTTTGTTTTGAGGCACGGTCTCACTATGTAGCCCAGACTGGCCTCGAGCTCACAGCAATCCTCCTGCCTCAGCTTCCTCACTGCTGAGATGACAGGTGTGTGCCACCACCTCCAGCTCCTCCCTCGTATTTTGCTAATCCCCGGATTACTCACCATCCTTAAAACAGCATTGAGTGCTTTGTAAATGGTCCTCCTGGACTGTTCAGGGGGCAGAGACAGAGTCTGTGCATGCTCGGGGCGGTGCACTTGTCTTCCCACTGTCTCATCTGAGGTTGGTCAGATCTGTGGACACGGAAGTCGGGATTGCAGAGCGCGATCGCCACTCACTGTGAGGAGACAGAGAAATAAGGACAGTAATTCTCTGTCAAGCAAAATTCTACCTCCAGGAGATAACAGCTTTTAACATCCAGCTCTTTTGGAAAGATTTTTTTTTCTGTCTGGCTGTATTCATCTGTAGAAATACCTACACATTTAGACAAAATAGAATTTCCTGTATTTTCATTCTCCTTGTATTCAGTCTTTAGCTGACCTAGTCTTGGTGATATCTATGGGCCATACCTGTTGCCTGTGTAAAAGTGTAAATTCACTTAAAGAAAGTACCCCTGTCCGGTGGACCCCTGTAATCCCAGCACTCGGGAGGCTGAGGCAGGAGGGTTCCAAGCCAGCCTGGGCTACATAATTGAGGCCAGCTTGAACTACATAGCGAGGCCCTGCATCAAAATAAATAAGTAGGGCCGGGGATTTAGCTCAGTGGTTTCACCGCCTGCCTCGAAAGCTGAAGGACCCGAGTTCGATCCCCGGTACCAAAAAAAAATAATAATAAAAAAGAAAATAAATAAGGGCCCCCTCTGCCCTGTGCCTTAGGAGAGGAAAGGGGTGTCCTAGTCAGTAGCCCAGCCTGCCCTCCCAGGCTGGTTTGGCGGGAAGCTTGCCTTAGAGGAGATTTGCCTCCTGGGGGCTGGCTCCCCTGTACCAAACAGGTTCCGGCGCAGCATGGGGGAGCTGGGTGCCCAGCAGGGGGCGCCACAGCCCGGCTCCTGAGCCCAGACCATGTGGCTGCAGGACAGGGCCGAGTAGGAAGCTCAGCTGTCCTCGGGGCTGGGCCTTCCGTGTGGGGGCAGCTGCCCGAGCGAGGGACGCTCCTGGAGGAGCAGGGGAGGCAGGGAGAAGAGCTGGGCCGGGGCCTCTTCGGCGGCGTCCTGTGCGTCACTCGGCTCCTTCTTCCGCAGACCCACAATCGAGCATGGCTGCCACTGCCGCTGTCAGTCCCAGCGACTACCTGCAGCCCGCCGCCGCCGCCGCCGCCGCCGCCCAGGTGAGTGCACAGTGGCTGCGGACCCGTCATCTCGGCTCCTGTGGAACCAGAGCCTGGCGAAGGTGCACGAGGCCAGGCCTCCTGATCTGAGAGTCCGTGTCCGTTACCTGAGGCGGTAGGGGCTAGGCCATTTTCAGCTCTGCTCCTTCCAGCAGGCCCACTGTCCCTAAGAGGAAAGCAGGGTCCCCTTGCTGGATTTGTTGTTTTTTCCACCGGTACTCGGGATTGAACCCAAGACTTGGCTACTGAGCTACATCCCTAGCCCTTTTAAAAAGTTGTGGGCTGGGGACGTAGCTCAGTGGCAGCGTGCCTGCCTGGCAAGCGCAGGGTTCTGAGTTCCTTCCCCGGTACCAAAAAAAAAAAAAAAAAATGTATTTTGAGGCCAGGCATGGTGGTGCACACCGGTCATCCCAGCACTTGGGAGGCTGAAGCAGGAAGATCGCGGTGAGTTTGAGGCCAGCCTGAACCACATAGTGAGGACCTGTCTGAAAAAAAATTTTTTTAAATATTTTGAGACAGTTTCACTAAGGTCACCACGTTGCGGAAGCTGGGTTCAAACTTGCGATCCTCCTGCCAGCACGGGTGCTGGGATGGCAGGCGTGTGTCCCCTGCGGGGCTCGAGGCCCTCACTGCAGCAGGGAGGGCAGGGGTGCGGCAGGGCCTGGCTGTCTCACGCCCACCCCGCTCGTTTCCGCAGGAATCGCAGCCCTCTCCCTTGGCCTTACTGGCTGCAACATGTAGCAAAATCGGCCCCCCGGCGGTGGAATCGGCTGTGGCGCCTCCGGCACCCCCCCAGCCCACGCCCCGGAAGCTGGTCCCCATCAAACCCGCCCCTCTCCCGCTCAGTCCTGGCAAGAGCAGCTTCGGCATCCTGTCCTCCAAAGGCAACATACTCCAGATCCAGGGCTCGCAGCTGAGCGCTTCCTACCCAGGCGGGCAGCTGGTGTTCGCCATCCAGAACCCCACCATGGCCGGCAAGGGCGCGCGCTCCGGCGCCAGCATCCAGTACCAGGCGGTCCCGCAGCTGCAGGCGGGCAGCACGCAGACCATCCAGGTGCAGCCCGGCCTCGCCAACCAGATCCAGATCATCCCCGGCACCAACCAGGCCATCATCACGCCCTCGCCATCGGGCCACAAGCCCGTGCCCATCAAGCCGGCCCCGGTCCAGAAGCCGGGCGCCACCCCCGTGCAGAGCAGCGCCAACGTGGTGAAGCTGACAGGCGGGGGCGGCAACGTGACCCTCACGCTGCCCGTCAACAACCTCAACAACCTCGTGAATGCCGCCGCCGGGGACCCCGGGACCCCCGCCCAGCTCCTCACCGAGAGCCCCCCCGCCCCCCTGTCCAAGGCCACCAAGAAGGCCCGGAAGAAGGGGGTCCCCGCCACGCAGCCCCCGCCGCCGCCGCCCGTGGCCGTGGCCGAGCAGGTGGAGACCGTGCTGATAGAGACCACGGCAGACAACATCATCCAGGCGGGGAACAACCTGCTCATCGTGCAGAGCCCGGGCGGCGGGCAGCCCGCCGTGGTGCAGCAGTTGCACGTGGTGCCGCCCAAGGCCGAGCCGCAGCAGGTGGTGCAGATCCCCCCGCAGGCCCTGCGCGTGGTGCAGGCCGCGTCCGCCACGCTGCCCACCGTCCCGCAGAAGCCGTCCCAGAACTTCCAGATCCAGACGGCGGAGTCCGCTCCCACTCAGGTATGCCAGCCCTTTGCCTCTCTTTATTTAGTCTTTTTTTTTTTTTTTTGGTACCGGGGATCGAACTTGGGACCTTGTGCTTGTGAGGTAGGCAGTGGAACCACTGAGCTACATCCCTGGCCCTATTTTCTTTTATTTTTTCAGTACCAAGAATTAAACTCAGAACCTTGCACTTGCCAGAGAGGCGAGGGGCCGCTGACCTAAATCCCTCCCTTTCTTTATCGTAGGTCTCTCGGGGATTGGGCAGGGCTCAGAGGTACAGTATTTTTGTGGGTGTTTTGCGACAAGGTCACACTTTGTGGTCCAGAATGGCCATGAGCTCTCCATCCTCCTGTCTCGGCCTCCTGAGTGCTGGGATTACAGCTGGGCACCTCCACAACTGGCCCCGTGTACACATTTTTTTTTGGTAGTGGGGATCGAACTCGGGTCCTTGTGCTTACAAGGCAGGGAGCGAAACCACTGAGCTAAATCCCTGGCCCCCATGTACACATTTTAATAGTAAAGTTTTGGGTGTTTTTTTTTTTCTTCCTTTGGTACCAGGGATCAAACTCGGGTCCTTGGACTTGCACAGCAGGCAGCAAAACAACTGGGCTAAATCCCCGGTCCAAGTTTTGCTTTTCGTTTTGTTTTGCTGAGGATCAAACCCAGGCCCGTGTGCTATGCAAGTCCTCTGTCCCTGAGCTACACCCCTAGCCTAGTTTATTTTTTCTATCATGGAATTTATATATTCAGAACTAGCAAGAATGAAAAAATTATAGTCAGGACTGTAGAATTTGATATAGCAGACAATTAAGGAGAAAACTGTTGCTCATTGTTAATGACAAGAAAGATAAAGGGAAGAGCTTTCTATTGGGAGCTAAAATTTAGGCTTGGATCATCTGGGATATTGAGTTCACAAGAATGTTCTTGTTGGCCTTTACCTGCTACCCCAGATCTCTTTGGCTCTGGGAGGCAACGACCATTCATTGTTTGTGCTTCTTAAATGCCAGAGATGAGCCCATGTGGCAGATGGAGAAGCAGGAACCGAGAGGGTGAAGTACCAGCACCTCACAGGACATAAACGACAGGGCCCCAGTCCTATCAGACGTTTAATTTCAAACCCACACTCTTGGAGTTTCTACCTCGACTCTGTGACAGGCACTGCCTGACGGGGGGAGCCAGCCGTCACTAGTCGGAACAGTACCTGAGGGGAGGGGTGAGGATTAAGAAAAAACAACACCAACTCGAGAGAAAAGACGAGGAGAGAGCGAGGGCCTTCTCCTTCCCACTTTATTGAGCCTTTTATATATCCTCCTTCATTACCCACAGCCTCCCTCCCTTCCTCCCCTCATGATCTCGTGACTAATTATTTTTACAGAGAAAAGGTCAAATACATCTTTACAATTCCGGGAATGTTACTTTCTTGTCCAGTAGACATTCAAATCCTTTCTATATTCGTTGTTCTCTTTAAAAGTCAACATCCTTGTTTTTGTACCAGGTTCATATCCTGGCTCATGATGTTCTTATCTGACTCAAGAATCTCAAGGGGCTTAGGAGTCTTTCAGTGTTCTTTCAACCCTTCGCTCTCCACAGCTGCCCCTGAAATTGGGGACCAAGCTTCTTTATTATAATGTGTGCATATAATCCCAGCTACTCAAGAGGCTGAGGCAGGAGGATTGCAAGTTTAAGGCAAGCCTGGGCAATTTAGTGAGATTATCTCCCCGGAAAAAAATCCACATAAAAACAAAAGAGAAACCTGCAAGGAACAGCTCCTGCCATCAAGGAATTTGTAATGGAGTTGTTTGGAGAGAACTAACTCTTGACAGCTGGAAGTTGAGTGATTTCCTGGGTGTGAAAGAAGAGCGCCTTGAATTGGAGCTGGGGACCCAGAAGTCAGGCAAGAGGTCGCCTCTGGCTGTGTTATGTGCTGCCAGGTGAGGTGAGGGCCTGAGGCAGCATCTGCTCAGGTATGTGCCCTTGCTGGGGTGCCCTGCCCTTCTCTTCCATGAGCTCCTCCATCTGGAGAGTGAAAGGGACAGGACTTAGGCCAGGTTTTCCTGAGGAAATAACTACACATATGCAGAAAGATTAAAGTATAACTGCTTTTTTTATTTTTTGTTTTTGTACTACTGGGGTACTGAACTGCATCCCCAGCCCTTTTTATTATTTTCAGACAGGGTCTTGCTAAGTTGCCCAATCTGGCCTCCAACTTGAGATCCTCCTGCCTCAGCCTCTGAAGTAGCTGAGATTACAGATGCGCACACCCGCGTCCAGCTTCTTCATCCTTTTATGAAAATGGCACACCCCACCCCCCGTAACCAGAGATCAAACTCAGGACCTTGTCCTCATGAGGCAGGCACGGTGCCACTGAGCTACATCCCTGGCCGACAATGACACTTTTTATGTACTTCAGGCTGGTCTTGAAGTCAATATGTAGCCTGGCTGCCTGGAACTCAGGCCAATCCCGCCTCGGCCTACCAGGTGCTGGGATGACAGGTGCGTGTCACCACATCTGGCAATGTGCAGTATATTTTTATGTTCCCATCTTTGCCAGTCTGAATGGGAGAACAACTGTTTCTCATTACTGCATGGCTCTTGAGGACCGAGGTGAACCTGTGGTTGTTCCTTTGATGGTCATTTGCGGTACCCTGCCTTCTAGTGCTCTGGCTCTCCGTGCTAAGAGCGGTGTGATCAGAGACGGCTTTTGCCAGCACCGCCCGGCCGTGGTGGGCACGGTGTGGGCAGCAGGTGAGCTGGTTGGAGGACAGCCGGGCTGGGAGCGGCTCGGTCACGCTGCCTCTCCCCCAGGTCTACATCCGCACGCCTTCTGGGGAGGTGCAGACGGTCCTGGTCCAGGACAGCCCGCCAGCCACAGCTGTGACTGCCTCCACCACTCCCTGCAGCAGCCCCGCGCCCCGCGCCCCCAGCCTGAGCGGGAGCAGCAAAAAGCACTCGGCCGCCATCCTGCGCAAGGAGCGGCCGCTGCCCAAGATCGCGCCGGCCGGGAGCGTCATCAGTCTGAATGCTGCGCAGCTGGCGGCCGCCGCGCAGGCCATGCAGACCATCAACATCAACGGTGTCCAGGTCCAGGGTGTGCCGGTCACCATCACCAACACCGGCGGTGAGGGCAGCTGTGGGGGGAACCCAGGGCCACCTGACCCTGGGCAGCAGGTGCGCGGTCACGCCCAGTCTCCTTCAGCCGGCTCGCCCCGTGATTTCCTTTCGCCTGGCTCTGCGGTAGCGCTGGGGCATAGAGGAAGCACGCTGTCTGTTGCACAATGGCAGCCTCAGAGGCAATGGAGAAGGGACATGGAAAGGAGCGCTTTCCAAGGGATGCGGGGTGCAGGGCGAGGTCCCAGAGGGCTCCTGAGAGCTCTGCCAGGAGGAGCAGAAGGGGCCTGGCTGGGAAGGGGAGGCCAGGGTGCCCACCATGTGGTCCTTGCATCACGTGCCTGGACAAAGGACACATTTCAAGGCCGTGAAACCTGAGGCTCCTCTCCCTATGTTTAATGGATCTGTGGCACTTTCTGCAATCCAGTTTTCTCATTTGAACCTGAAGAGGGAGGACAAGGTGTTCTAGAGGGCTTGATTTTTCCCAAAGTCAATAGAGTCTGCTTCCTTCCCCCCGACCCTTTTTAGTGGCACAGGGCCTCCACACTGAGCTACATCCCCAGCCTTTCTTTTTTTAACTTTTTTTTTTTTTTTTGGTACCGGGGATTGAATTTATGAGGCAGGCAAAGACACCACTGAGCTAAATCCCCAGCCCTCTTTTTTTAACTTTTGAGACAGGGTCTCACTAAGTTGCTATGTTGCCCAGGCTGGACTCAAACCTGCCATCCTCCTGCCTCAGCCTCCTGAGTAACTAGAATTATAGGCCTGAGCCACCACACTGGGCTGAGGCATCGCATTAATGTGAACTCTCTGACTTCAGATTGTGTTCTGCCACTTCTAGCCGTGTGACCTTGCTGTGTCATTGAGTCCTGGGCTCCCATCTAAAGCAGGGGGTAACCACCACTTCTGAGCCTGCCTGAGGTCCCTAATAGCTGAGACTCAAGTACCTGACCCAACCCTTCCCATGCCCACAGGGCAGCAGCAGCTGACAGTACAGAATGTCTCCGGAAACAACCTGACCATCAGTGGGCTGAGCCCCACCCAGATCCAGCTGCAGATGGAGCAGGCGCTGGCTGGGGAGGCGCAGCCGGGGGAGAAGCGACGCCGCATGGCCTGCACTTGTCCCAACTGCAAGGACGGGGAGAAGAGGTGAGCGGGCTGGGCAGCAAGGGCGGGGCCTCCGCTGTGCTCACTGACTGCCCCCACGGCCTGTCACCCTCTGTCCGGTCTCCTCCCCTCTCCTCTCCCCGATGCCCAGGTCCGGGGAGCAGGGCAAGAAGAAGCACGTGTGCCACATCCCAGACTGCGGCAAGACCTTCCGGAAGACATCGCTGCTGCGGGCCCACGTGCGCCTGCACACTGGCGAGCGGCCCTTTGTGTGCAACTGGTTCTTCTGTGGGAAGAGGTTCACACGTAGTGACGAGCTGCAGAGGCATGCGCGCACACACACAGGTCAGCTGCGCCGTCACCCAGCGCGTGCAGGGGGCCGGACTGGGCGGGACTGGCAGAGGCCTGTCTGGCTGACCTGAGGTGTCCAGGTCACAGCTCTTGATGGTGGGACAGCTCAAACCCAGGCCCTCTGGCTCCTAATCCACCTTCTTAGTTATATCTGGGTGCCCTCCAACTGTTACTTACCTCAGTATGTGTTTTAAATCGTTTCATCTTTTCTTTACTCTTTTATGTTTTAAGCAGCATTATTTCTGGTGTCACATTTGACATCCTGCTTCCGAGTTTAAGGTACTGGCAGAGAAGTGTGGCACATAGAAGACTGTCTGCCCACTGTCTGCAGAGGCCCTGGGGTTCCCGGAGGTCCAGACCCAACTGTGGGAAGCGCTGCTGTTGCAATTGGCCCAGGGAGCAGCCCAGGGACTGCGTCTGTGGTGCCAGAGCTCTGGCTCCCGGCCAGGGTGGTGGGACAGGACGAGAGCAGACACGGCCCTGGCCCAGCCCTGGCCTGGGGCAGCTTGGGGGGGGGGCGTGGGTGCAGGGGAAACAGGTCAGGACAACGCAGCCAGGTGTGGGGAGAGGCTGGGGGCAGGGGCTGAGGCGCAGGGCTGTTGGCGAAGGACAGGAACCGGGCGGGCAGAGGAGGCCGCAGAGGGTGGACCAGGTCGAGATGGGACTTCGGGTCAGTGGAGAACCGAGAAGTGTGAACAAGAAGCCTCGTACCAAGGCGCTGAGGCTGTGGCAGCCTCTTTTCGGGGCTGCCGGTGCCGGTGGTGGCTATGTGGGTGACAGGCCTCGCCTCTTCCAGGGGACAAGCGCTTCGAGTGTGCCCAGTGTCAGAAGCGCTTCATGCGGAGCGACCACCTCACCAAGCACTACAAGACCCACCTGGTCACCAAGAACTTGTGAGGCCAGCGAGCGGGAGGCCCTGCAGACTCGGACCCTCGGTTCCCCCAGTCCCGAGGGCCCGGCTCCTGTGTGCGGTCGAGTCCCCACAGGAAGGGGCTCTGCACCCGCCCTCCCTTTCTCACCTCGGGTGCTGGCCACCTGGCCCAGGGACACTGGCCCTGCCCAGTGCGGCCCTGCCCAGTGGGGCCCTGCCCGAGACGTTCTGACCCAGGACGCGTGGGACCCTTATTTCCAAAGGAAAACGTGCATTTCACTCCGTCGAGGAGCAAAGTGAGCCCCCTCCACCCCCCTCCTGCCCCAGCACCCCCAACACTGCCGGGGTCCCATCGTGCCATAGCCCCCGCCCCACCCCGGCCACCAGGGACGTCCCAGGGCCCCGCAGCCTCCCCGGGCGGCCGCCCTCGCAGCGGCAGAGACCGCTCCAGACATTCCAACTTGCAGCCAGGGTCGGCGCTGTGGGCCCCGTCCCTCTGCGGAGAACGTTGCCTTATACTCTACTTCCGATGATGAACACTGTGTATTGTTTGCTTTAACAAGTTTTATTTAATTGCTCCCTTGGTCCCCTCCTGTCAGCTCCTGTGCCTGCTCTCATTTGGGGTTTGGGGGGGTCAGTGATGAGGGTATGAACTTCATGTCATCCCGAGTGACACCGCATTTCCCCAGGTCCACACCCACAGGTGCCCTCCCCGGCCCCTGGCCACCGGCTGTGTACAGTGTATATTGTATAATAGATGACTGCGTCTACTACATGTTTTAAAAACATATTGCTTGTTATTTTTGAGGCTTTTAAATTAAACAAATTCAACTTTATTTTTAGTTGTAACTGCTTGAGGTATGTTTTCTGAATTAAGTGACAGATTTGTTATCCTTTATTAACAGTGGACTTTGTTGGTCGGTGCTGGGCTGACAAAAAAATTTTCTTGCTAATAAATTTAGTTGCCTGAGGCAAAATCTGCACCTCAGCGATTGAACTTCCTGTCTGTCACCTTGGAGGGCGAAGAGGCCTGGGACAGCTGAGGCTGTCCCCAGGACCTCACCCTGCTGGGAGATCGGGCGGCTAAGGCTGGGAGTGGGGAGAAGGCTCCATGCCCAAGGAACAGGGCCGGCAGGTGTGGGGCGAGCACAGGCCGCTGCCACCTCCGCTGCTCCTCTCTCCCTGCCCAGCCTCTCGGAGACGGCCGGGCCCCCGGGGTTCCCCGAGGGGTGCGAGCTGAGATTTGGCGGGGATTGCTTTCCACTCAGGAAGTCGGGTTGTGCGGCTGTGCAGATTAAGGTGCAGCCTCCCGGGGCCCAGAGCATCCAGGCTGCTCCAAGCCCAAAAGAGCAGGAGGCCCTCACTCACCTCCAAGGACACCCAGCTGTGTGTCTGTCCTCACTCCTTCCTCTGTTGCTGGCCTCCTGCTGTGCTGGCAAACAACTTCCCAGGGCTGAAGAGATACAAGACACAGGTCTCAGGTGGAGCTGGGTTTTCTGCCCTTGGTCTCTTGTCAGTAGACGGGGAGACCCTTCCTGCCCCTGGGCAATACCAGACCAGACTCGCCTGTTATCCCAGCACTCAGGAGGCTGAGGCAGGAGGATGGCTGCAAATTCAGGGCCAGCCTGGGCTACATAGTGAATTTAAGGCCCTGTCTCATGAAACCAAAAACCACTAGAACAGCTGAAGGGTTCTTGGTTTAGAGACCTCTCCATCAGCCCATGGGCCCCAGGACTTGGGGCTGCCCTAGCAGCCAGGGCAGGGGTGCGGTGTGCCCATCTGCTCTGTGTTACAGACTGGAAGGGCCTCCCTGGCACCGAGCAAGGGGGTGGGCCAGGAGGGAAGGCTCATTAGCCAGCGGGCCTTTCTACACATTTCCCTCAGCTTTGCTCTCAGGCACGAAGGACAATCTTTCCTGGGCGCTGGTCCAAGACCAGCACTTCCCGTTTCCCAAGCGGAAACAGACATGTCTCCTCGGCACCCTGCGCAAATGAAGATGCTGGGTGCGGGAGCAGGGCTCTCCTCGGCCACCCCTGCTCCCCGGGGAGCCTGAGTTAGTGGAAGAGGAGGGAAGGACAAAGCCTAGGAAGACCTGGAGCAAACTGGGCCCTGTCTGGTTCTGTTCCATCCTTTATCCAGGGGTTCACGGCCAGGGTCTTTGAACCTGAGAGGCCTCAGGGATCCTCAGCAGCCCCTGATGACAATCTGGGTGCAGCCGCTCTGACAGGGTCGCCTGTACCAAGGCCACCCTTAACCCTTCCCTGCTCTGGGGTCGCTCAACACTGCGACTCTCCGCCCTGCACCCTTGGCTGCCGCAGGACTCTGAGCCTGAGGGCAAATCCAAACCAGTACTTTATTTTTCCACACAAACTTCCTTTAGACCAATCAGCCCACCTTTATGAGCATCTTTCCAGGGCCCCTGTGAGGCCCCTACTTTTTGGACCACGAGGCTGAAGTTATAGGCAGCCTCACCTTCATGACTTACTTTGAAGAAGCCAGGTTAGGGCAAGAAGAGGGCTCAGACCTGGCCCAGGGGAAGGAGCTGGGCTGCTGAGCCGAAAACTGAGCTGTAGATTATTTAGATTCTGAATACAAATGATGCCTGACATGGTGTCACACATCCTAGCACTCTGAAAGGCTGAGGCAGGAGGATTACAAGTTTGACCCCAGCCCGGACAACTTAGTGACTTAGGGAGACTGTCTCAAAATAGAAAATTTATAAAGGGCTAAGGATGTTGTAGCTCAGTGCAAAGGCCCCATGTTTAATCCTTAGTTTGAAAAAAAAATTTTTTTTTTATTGGTACTGGGGATCAAACTCAGGACCTTGCCCTTGCGAGGCAGGTGGTGGCACCACTGAGCTAAATCCCAGCCCTGAAAAAAAAAATTATTAAACTGAGCAAAAATGGGGACAGGGATGTAGCTCAGCAGTGAAGCGCCTGCCTGGTAAATTCGAGGACCTGAGTTGATTGCCGGTACCAAAAAACCCCAAAGTAAACAGCAAAAATGAAGCCATCTTCTCCCTGCTTCCTAAGCCCTGGTCTGTTCTTAGTTACTGTACCCCAAACCTTCCCAAGCAGTGGTCTGGGGGCCTCCCTTCCTGTTGAGCTCATGGGAGCCCCTCCTCCCCCAGAGGCTGTCTGCTTGCTCCCTCGAATTTCAGACTCCTAGTTACCCCTTCTTCTCGGGGTGCACTTAACCCCACCACCACTGGGGGGCCCTTCCTCTCCAGCACCCACACATTCCAGTGCACTGTCTCAGACACTCAGGGCTTGTGGGGACCAGAAATGAAACTCATGATAAATGTCCCAGACTCTGCCCTAGGGTAAAATACTGGGGAGTGTGTGACTGCAGAATTGGGGCACTGCTTCCACCAACTGGGGGTCCCAGCTTGGCTTCTGGCAAGTGGTGGAATGCTAGAATGGCAGCTCTGGCTTCTGTAAGAGGAGCCAGGAAAGTGGGGGTGCTGTGGATCCTGAATGTCCCCATGAGTGGAAAGCTTGGTCCCCAACCCAAGATGGGGGGGGGTGCTTCAGTGGAGCCTAGTGAAAGAAACTGGGCCTCTGGGGGCCATGCCTGTGACTCCCCACGGGACTGAAAGCAAGAGAGCTAGCCATGAACTACACCTACAAAACCGTGAGCTAAAAGAAACCTTTCCTTTGGCTTTGTGTGTGTGTGTGTGTGTGTGTGTGTGTGTGTGTGTGTGAGAGAGAGAGAGAGAGAGAGAGAGAGAGAGAGAGAGAGAGAG